TCAGTCCTGCTCCCGACCCTTGGCTGTGTGTACAGGCTCAGTCCTGCTCCCAACCCCTGGCTGCTGTGCATGGGCTCAGTCCTGCCCCCAACCCCTGGCTGCTGTGTATAGGCTCAGTCCTGCCCCCGACCCCTGGCTGTGTGTACAGTCACATTCCTGGCTGCTTAGTCTGAATGATTGTAACCTGGAGTTTGAGGGTAATAGGCAAAGCTCCTAGCTCACAAGCTAGCTTGCCTTGGTCGCCTGTCCCGATACAAAACTTTGAGAACTGAGTAATTGTGAAAAGCAGAGAGAGGCGACCTAATCAATGCAGCATGCTGGGAAGAGCAGGTGCAGGGGCCAGAGGCCCCACATCCGTCTTTTGGGTTCTGACATGATCTTTAGAGAAAGAATTAGGGTACAGAAGAGCTCTACATGATCGAGATGTCCTGGGCAAGGTATGGCCTTGTCTCGGTCTGGTTCTCTGAAGGTGATCTGAAGAAGTCCTTAGCACTGCCCGGGCTTGAGTCTTTCATGCTCTTTCATGGCTGACCACCCTCTACTGGGGAGTCCACGGTGAGCCCCAGGGTAGAAACTGACAGGGATGAAATGGGCTGTGTGCAGCATGCGCTTCCAGTCTGCTCTGAAGCTGTGATCAGCACTATGACCATAGCAGCTGGGGGAGGAAAGATTACGCTCCACAGGCCCATCACTGAGAGAAGTCCGAGCAGAAGCCGTTGGAGGAGCATTGCCTGCTGGCTCACTCTGCAGATTCCTGTAAGGTTCAGGCCCATCTGACTAGGATGCTGGCACTGGCAGTGGCCTGGGCCCTCCCACATCAATCCTCAATCAAGACAGTCTTTCAGACCAGTCTGATCTGGACAATTGCTCAATGGCTCCTACTTTCCAAGTGACTCTAAGTTATTTAAAGAAAAAAAAAACCCGACAGGACACCCACTGCCCAGTACAGATAAGTGGGCAGTCCATAGTGAAGGAGTCCAACAGCACAGATCAAGCTTTGATTCTGTGTCTGGTTACCTATGGGCCCAAGTCTGGAGTCAATGCTTAATGTGAAAACTGTTTTTCCAAAGCCTGTTTCACAGTGACAGAATCTCAAGGCAATTCCCACGGTTCTGAGGCCTGTGACCCTGGAACCAGCCATCTGGGTCTAGATCTTAACCTCTGCTTCAGCTCCATGCTGTCCTGTCTATACTGAAGTGTGTGTGTATGGGGGGAGGGCAGTGAGCAATCCCTGTGGGGGCCCTGTGTGGCGGGAGACTTTGTTCCTGCTGCAGTCAACTTCATATCTGAAATAATGGACATAGGCAGGTGAGAGAAGAAACAGCATATGCATTTGTACTCAGCACACATGGGCCCAGAGCACTGAAGTCTGGGCACAGGAGCGGGCAGAGGCTGCAGGTGTTTAGAAAAAGCAAATGGGCCTGCAGAAGAAGGTGGGTACCAAGCAGTACAAGTCTGTCATCCCAGCTACTAAAGAGGCTGAGGCAGGAAGGTTGCTAGCTCAAGGTCAGCCTGTGCTGTGCAGTTTAAACTCTGTATTAAAAAAAGAAAAGCTAGAGAGATGGTTCATCAGGTAAGAGCGTTTGCTGCTTCTCCAGAAAACTCAGGATCAGTTCCTAGCAAGCACAAGTAACTTAGAACTGTCCTTGATTCCAGGCGCAGGCGATCTGAAGCCCTCTCTGGCTTCTGTGGGCGCTAAGCACACACAGTGTATGTATATGGAGGCAGGCAAAGCATATATATATATCTCCAACTACAAAGTAAATCTCTTAATTCCAGCACTTGGGAGGCAGAGGTAGGTGGATCTCTGTGAGTTCGAGGTCAGCCTGTTCTACAGAGCGACTTCCAGGACAGGCTCCAGAGCAACACAGAGAAACCCTATCTTGAAAAACCAAAAAGAAAGCGAAAAGAAGGAAGGAAGGAAGGAAGGAAGGAAGGCAGGAAGGAAGGAAAAGAGAAGAAAGGGGAAGGGAGGGAAGGAGATAGGAGGAAGAGGGGTATGAAGGGAGGAAGGAAGGAAAAGATGAGGGAGGGAAGGGGAGGGGGAGATGGGAGTAAGGGAGAAATGGAGGGAGGAAAGAAGGAAGGAAGGGAGGGAAGGAGGGAGGGAGGGAGGAAGGAAAGAAAGAAGGACCAAAGGGTGATGCTGTAGTTCAGTGACTGTGAGTCAGCATGAGTGGTGCCTTGGGCTCTGGCCTAAGTAACACAATCCCCTATGCCCCAACTACAACAAAATGTGGGACTGGACTGGAACTGTAGCTCAGTTGTGTTCGCCTAGCACGCATCAAGTTCAGGATTCAGTCCCCAGCACAGATAAGGCAGGTGTAGTGATGGGGTGGGGGTGTAGGCTGCAAGATTAGGAGTTCAAGGTCATCCTTGACTACAGAGCAAGTTTGAGACAAGCGTGGTGTATGATGCTCTGAAAATGGGGAGATACGGTTTGGGACAAAGTCTGTCTTTCTGCTGTGCTGGAGTTGCTGTTCTCGGTAGGTGACGCTGTAGTGGGGACTGATAACATTCTGGTTCCTCGGTAGGTGACGCTGTAGTGGGGACTGATAACATTCCGGTTCCTCTGGACACCTCACGGGGGTTCAGTGAAAGCTTGTCAGATGTGAGCGGATTTCTAGTGCTGGTCTGGGTGAACTTGGGGTGTCCTTTGGTGTGACAGATTCTGGGTTCAGTAGGAAGTTTGAGAGTGCAGACAGCTCTCCAGAGCTTCCGTCTTTTAGATGAACTCAGCTGCCGGTGGCTCTTGTCCCCATAGTGATTACTCCAGAGACCCCCTGGAGCAGAGGGGGGGGGGAGATCTGCAGGGCGGAGCCACTGCGGCCCATGTGACCCCTCTTCCCTCCTTCCACAGTTCTGCTCTGGGCCACAATCCTCTTGCCTTCATCTTCAGTAACCGCCAGTGGTCCACTTGTGTCCCCATGGCTCTGAGCCACGCTGGACATTGAATGCGAAGCCATCAGTTCTGAGCCTTGTGCAGAGCTGTTCGGGGTCCATGAGTCCAAGACTTTTGAGAAGGTGAGACCAGAGCCAGAAGGGAAGGCCAGTGGAGAAGAGGTGGTGCAGGGGCCTAGCTGCTCTATTGGCCATCTCAGAGAGACATCCTGGGCCAGTGTCCCACCACATACCAGTGTCGGTGTCCCATCACATACCAGAGCCAAGGGGATCAGCTCAAGAGCAAGGTGCTCCCTGCACATAGTCCCCTCCTCCCTGCACATAGTCCCCTCCTCCCTGCACACTCAGCCCCTGGCTGGGATGGTCAGTGTACACACCCACATTTCCTTCCTCTGTCGTCCTCTCCCTGTCCTTTCTCTACATTCCTCCTCCCTTCCTTCCTCTTTCCTTGCCTCCTTCTCTTTCCCTTCTTCCTCCTTCAGTAGCATCTGCCTCGCAAGTGCTGGGCCTGAAGGCTTGCACCACAGTGCCTGCCTTGGTCCTTCCTCACTTTCCTTCCTGCTTCCTTTCTTCCCCTCCCCTTCTTCCCTTCTCCTCCCACCCAATCATAACCCCTCTTCCTTTCCCCTCCACATCTTCCTGTAATGACAGAGGTGCACTCTGGACAATGACTACCCGAATACGGAAGAAAGGGTTCCACTCACATCAACCTTTACTCCGGAGAGTGCTGGCCCCTAGGGGGCCTTGTCCACACTGCACCCACTGCTCCTAGCTCTTCTGCCTGCCTCAGCCGTTCCTGTCCCTGTGCTCCTGTATGCTGACTTTACCATTCTAATCTCCCACCCTCCTCTGCCTGGTCTGCTATGTCACTGCCCAGGGGAGGGCGGGGTCTTGAAGCTCTGCCATGGCCCTTAGCCCTTCTGCTTTCTGCAGCTCCTTCCTGTCTAGGGCTCCAGGACATGGTCTTGCCCTGGTTCAGTTCAGTCTAGCTTCCAGCTTCAACTGTCAGCAGAGCCTCCAGGTGGGGGTGTACTGCGCAAGGTGCCTGCGAGGAACAGTACACAGCGGGACCCCATCCCAGAATGCCAGCCCTGTGTACACACTGGTGCTCGGCTCCATCACACTGCTGCCGTCACAGCTGATCCCATCCTTTCCAGATGGCCATACTGACATTCCCCTACAGGGGATTAAGGAAATGTCCACACCCTTTAGCTAAGGACCCGTGAGTGCTATTTGAGTGATATTAGGTGCCCCTCCCCCACCCCATTCTTCTCCCTTAGAGTCTGAATCCCTTAAAGACACAAGTTAGAAGCCAGGCTTTAACTCATCTTCCAACTCAGAGCTGGCCAGGCTGCCCTGGACTGCCTTTAGCATCTTTTCCTTGGTGGTTGTCATGGAGATGAAGTAGTCTGGTCTGATCTCCAGCTTTGACACAGGGTCCCCCTAAAGTACAAGTGTGATGCCGCTCTTTTTCGTTTGTTTGCCTGTTTGTTTTCTAGACAGTTTTCTCTGTAGCTGTGGAGCCTGACCTGGAACTAGCTCTTGTAGACCAGGCTGGCCTCAAACTCACAGAGATTCACCTGCCTCTGCCTCCCGAGTGCTGGGATTAAAGGTGTGTGCCACCACTGTCCAGCATGATTCTGTTCTTGCACCAGCACCTGGCTCTGGGGACAGAGTTATGACATGGGCACCTTGTTCCTGTCACCCTAAAGCTAACACTTTCTTTTTAAAATTTTTTTATTAATTAATTTATTTGTTTATAAAAATTTCCACTTCCTCCCCTCCTCCCCATACCCTCCCATTCTCCCCACTCCCTCTCCTCCCCCCCCCCACTCCCTCCCCTCCTTCCTCTCCAGTCCTAAGAGCAGTCAGGGTTTCCTGCCCTGTGGGAAGTTCAAGTTCCTCCCCTCTCCCTCCAGGTCTAGGAAGGTGAGCATCCAAACAGACTAGGATCCCAGAAAGCTAGTTCATGCAGACAAAACAAGACCCAATGCCACTGACAATGGCTTCTCAGTCAGCCCCCATGTCAGTCACATTTCGAGACTCCGGTTTGATCACATGCTCGTTCAGTCCCAGTCCAGCTGGCCTTGGTGAGCTCTCATTCGATCAGTCCCCTTGTATCCGAGGGTGAACGCATCCCACACGGCTCTGATTTCCTTTTTCATGATCTCTCTCCTTCTGCTCCTCATTTGGACCTTGGGGGCTCAGTCCAGTGCTCCAATGTGGGTCTCTGTCTCAATCTCCATCTATCGTCAGATGAAGGTTCCCTTTAGTCCTGCCTTTCTTGCTCACGTTCTCCCTCCTTCTGCTTCTCATTTGGACCTAGGGAGTTAAGTCCAGTGTTCCAATGTGTGTCTCTATCTCTATCTCCATCCATCGCCCGATGAAGGATCTATGGTGATATACAAAATATTCATCAGTATGGTTATGGACCAGGGCCAGTTCAGGTACGCTCTTCTCTGCTGCCCAGGGAACAATCTGGGGACCTCTCCTTGGGCCTGGGAACCCCTCCAGAATCAAGTCTCTTGCAAACCCTAAAATGGCTCCCTTAGTTGAGATATATACTTCCCTAGTCCCATATCCATCCTTCCTCCCCGCTCCCATTCCCCACACTTTCGACAGAGAGAGGCATCATGGACAGAAGCGCACGCAGACAAGGTGGCTTCATTTGTTTTCAGAAAGAGTCTCACACAGTCTAGGTTGACCTCAAACTTGCTATGGAGCTGAAGATGACTTCAAACTTTTGTTCTGATGCCTTTCCCTCCTATGTGCTGGGATCACAGACTCGTGCCACTGTGTTTGGTTTATTCTGTGCCAGGGTGTTGAACCCAGGGCCTGGTGCATCCTAGGCCAGCAGTTCCCGAACTGAGCCATGTCCCCAGGCCTCACAGAGAAGGATCACCTTGGCTGTGCACTGTTGGGGACAGACCCAATGTACTCCATCTGACAGCCGGGTGCTTAGGTTACTTGCTGTATTTGCTGGCAGCACTGCGGATCCCCCCCACCTGCTGACCTGCCCATGCCCTGGTAATGGACACCTGGATAATATCTGCTATGACTTTGTACCTGCCTCTCTAACCTCATGGCTGAAGGACTCATTTGTAGAATTTGAGGGACAGCTCCCGGGCCCCTCTGACCCTAAGGGTCTTGCCGTCCCAGATACAGACTACAAAGATTGAGTCCCAGCAGCCTGAAGTACGAGTGGGAAGAGAAACTGTCCAGAGCCATAGTGGCCACAGCAGCGGCGCTAGTGAGGAGGCTGTGTGTGGCTCAGCCCACCAGCTCTGAGGTAAGTTTTTCCAGCCCCAGGGCAGACTCAGAGCCTGAGCAGCTTCCGCATAATCTCCCCTTCTTGCCCAGCTTCACCAACACACCCAAGCATTCGCGCTGTGCTAAGGACCTCATCCATGTTATCTAATTCAACCCTCAGGAAAGTTCTTATCTCTGTGCCCGTTTTACAGGTGAGGAAACTGGCTGGCAGAATTTCAGGACTATCCTCACAGCCACCTAGCCAGGAAGTGGCAGAGCTGGGCGGTTCGCCTAGGCAGTCTGTTTCCACATTTGCTGGGGGGGGGGGGAGGGGGTCCTGTTCATTGTGGTATACAGAAGCAGCACTCCTGATCTTCACCAGCTGGGTGCCAGCATCTTCCCTGCCCGTAGCCATGACAACCAGATTGCGCTCTCTTGGGCACATGGTTGTCCAAGCGGAGAACTATTACAGTGTTCTTATCTCACTGCCCAGCTCCAGGATGGGAACCTTGTGACACCGTAGGACAGACCAGATTCTTCTGTCCATCCCCAGAGCGTTTCCTGACCCCAGGCTGTCCATTAAGCTGGCCCCACGAATTGCAACAAGGTGCACTATGGGCCTGGGTCTCCCTGGGGCAGCCAGCCGTGCCTGTGTCCGAGGCCCCATCTTCCCTAGGAGGTCCCTCGGGTCAAAAGATAAGTTGTTAGGCTTCCCAGGGACATACTAGCCCACAGCCACGAGATCCCCAGCCCCCCCCCCCCCGGGAGGACCAAGCCCTCCCTGTGTTGCCAGAAGACCATAAAGTCTCAGCCCCTTGCTAAGGCCAGTGGCCCCAGACAGGGTTTATTTTCAGTCCTGAAACAAAACCAGGACGTGGTGGCCCATAGAGCGCAAGCTCCCAGTGTGTGTGTGTGAGGGGGCAGGTGTTGATGATGGAGGGGCAGCGGTGGGAATGGCCTGGTCAAAGCTTTCACCAGGGAGCCAGGGGACAGGAATATGCCTGTTGGGGTGGCTGAGAGAGGAGCTGACGCACGTGTTCTGTAAGATAACTCAAGTTATACACATTTATTCAATGCTATAGTGTCAAGTGGGGTTTTTGTTTTTCTTTTCTTTCTCCATTTTGGTGGAGCTACAGACAGAACCCAGGATCCCACACATGCTATGAAGCACACCAACACATAGTTACATGTCAGCCAAATGCCCCAGAGACTGTGATACATAACACGGGCTTATGTATATGCTAGTGGTGGCTGTGGATAGTTAGGCTTTCCTAAATCCTGCAGCAAGGCTTCAGAGAGGGAGAAGCAGGTCCAGGATTCTGAGGTCTCTAGATAGCATGGTAGATGACAGAGAGGCTCTGTGGCCACCAGAGCGAGGGCCAGTGTAGCAGTGGCAGTCCGTCTGCTTGTGTGACTCCAGCGGAAGTGAAGACAGGGCGAGATTGGAGAAGGCCCATCCCAGGAAGGCTCCCTGCATGCTGGGGTGGACACATTGGCCTCAAGGCGCCTGCTTCGTGCTCTGAAGTTTTCTTTTTCTGTGTTTTTGAGACAGGGTCTCATTTTGTAGCCCAGGCTGTCTGGGGCTTATGATGACCCATCTGTGCCTTCCATGTGCTGAGAATACAGCATCTGCCACCATGCTGGGTGTAGCCTGTGTTTTTCTGAGACCAAGTTGGGCTCAGTGGCAGTCATGCAGCGAGGCCTTCCACACCAGCGATCCCTCAAGATGGGGCCTCATCCCTGCCATGGCAGGCTTATTTCTGGGCAGGCAGCAGGTGGGCCTAGCATGACTCCTTTGGACTTGCTTCTCTCGTGGCCTCGGGCTTAGGTTGCTGCAGAGACCTGGGACTGAAGGAAGGCTGAGATGGGAGAAATGAAGTCAGTGTCCCCAAACTAAGCAGCTGGAAGAATCAGGGGTATGTTTTGAAGGCAGCCCTTTGTCTGTTGGAGTGTTTGGACCCTCCGTGACTGGCCGTGAGGTGACCGTGTTTTCCTGCCATCCCTGTTGATAGGAAGAAGTTCATGGGCTGCAGACATAGCTCAGAGGGTAGAGGGTTTGTCTTGTATGCCCAAGGCCTTGTGTTCCATCCTCAGTACTGTAGAAAATAAAATAAAACCAAATTCCAAAAGAGCACAACATGCACACAAAAGCCAGTGTGCCAGAAAGGTAGGCACAGAGGTGCACAGAGGTGCGCAGAGGTGCACAGAGGTGCACCTGAGAGGCTGAGGGAGGAGGGTGGTCTGTGTGAGGCCAGCCAGGGCTAAAGAGTTAGGCTGAATCCAAGGAAACAAAGTAATGCAGGGCATGATGGCACAGGCCTTTGTTCTAGTGAAGAAGCAGGTGAGCCTCTGAATTCGAGGTCAGCATTGTCTCTCTGTGTAGGAATTCCACGCCAGACGATGCTACATAGACCTTGTCTCCAAAAAGTAAAAATTAAAAAAACAAGCAAGTAATATAATAACAAATTTATAGATTGGAGACTATTCCTTACTAAATATTTGAACTAGCTTTTTTTTGGTGGCCATCACTGGATTGCAACTGTCGAAATGAAGTTCGATCCCTTTGTAACTTCTGACCAAAACAAGAACCACAAGTGGCATTTGGATGGACCTTCTCACACTTGGAGGACGATCACGTCTTCCCTCTCTCCTCAGAGCAGAGACAGACGTGTGAAAGGGTGGTACAGCTCAGGCTGTCTGAGGACATGACAAAGGCCAGCAGATTAGCAAAGTGGTCCAGGTGCACAGAAGAAATACACATTCACATTGAACGGGCACAGCGAGAAAAGGCTAAAGGCAGGCACAAGTGTCCCTGTGGGCCTCCACCCCAGCAATGGTGGGGCTGTTGTCAGGCTAAAGCTAGATAAAGTCTGGGAAAAAATCCTGGAAAGGAGGGCCACTTCTTGATAAGTAGGAAAGGGCAAATACGGGAAGAAATAATTGACTCTTACACACAACTTTCATTAAAGATTGTTTAAGTGAAAAAGAAAACAATCAGGCTAAGATTCATGAGGGAGCTAAGGATGAAGCTAAGTTGGTAGAGCCATTCTGGCTTGCACAAACCCTGTGGATGGGACATGGTGCTGGTGTCTGTTGTCCCAGCACTCGGGACAGAAGCAGGAGGATCAAAGTCATTCTTGGCTACCTGGTGAGTTTTGAGACTTGCTCAGGCTACTTGAAACTTGGGTTTTAAAAAAAAACCCAAACAAATAAAACCAGAACAACAATCACAAAAACAAGGCCCATCAAAATGGCTCAGTGGGTAAAGCACTTACCACACAAGCTTGGTGACCTGATCTCAAGCCCTGGAGCCCATGTGAAGTAGGAGGAAAACAGCTTCACAAAGCTGACCCTGTGTGCACCGTGCCCAATGCCCAGATTCCATGGCACCGTTTTCTCTTTTGGTTTGGTGACACCGAGTCTCAGCCTGTGGTCCAGGCTGGTCTTAAACTTGTCTTCCTGACTCAGCCTCCTGGGCACTAGCATGACAGCATATACTCTGTCTTCTACCACCACATCCTAGTGTGGCATGCAGAGCATATCTGTTGAGCTGTACATGCTGCTACTGGGCGTTTCACAGCCGGGAAGCTGGATGTGTGACCTCACCATCCAGATGTTCTTTACCTGTCCAGTGTCTTTGCCTTGGAGCAGGGAATGGGCCAGGTCACCGTGGGGTTCTCTTTGACATCCCACCCCCTCTGCATCCCAGGCCACGGAGATGTTCCTGATGCTGGAGTCTAAGCTCCAAGGCCTTTCCGTGGGTGAGCAGACTGCAGTCTGGCAGCAATTGTCTTTTGAATGTCATGACAACCGGTAAGGACCTCACTCTGGTGGAGGCTGAAACGCAGGCAGGCTGCCTTTGGGAATTCCTTGATGGATTGATGGGGTGGATAGCCCTGGTGCTCTCTGGGGTCCTCAGATAGGGTGTGACTCCAGCTTGCCTCTGTGGGGTTTGGAATTTCCCCTGAAACTCAAGCTTTTGTGGGGCTGAGACTGAAGATGAAGGCCGGCAGATGAAGATGGCGTCGTTCTGCCTGGTACAGCGTCTGTATAAACTTGGGGATTAGCATGCAAAGCAGCTTGGGTCCCCTCTAGTGGATGCATGTTTGCATATGTGCAGGTGTGGGTTTGCATATTATGGGTATGTGTTTGCATGTCTGTGGGTGTGTGTTTGCATATATGCAGGTATGTGTTTGCATGTGTATGGGTGGGTGTGTTTGCATGTGTGCAAGTGTGGGTTTGCATGTGTGCAGGTTGTGTTTGTATGTGTGTGGGAATGTATTTGCATATGTGCAGGTGTGGGCTTACATGTGTGTGGGTGTGTGTTTGCATGTGTGCAGGTTATGTTTGTATGTGTGTGGGTTTGGGTTTGCATGTGTGCAGGTGCAAGTTGTCATGTGTGTGGTGCTTGTTCATAGAGGCAACCCAGAACTCACGGATGCAGGCTAGTCTGGATAGCTAGCTTGCTCTGAGAATCCTTTCTCCTCCTGTCGAGCGCTGCACTGGCAGGGGAACCACACTCCCACCAGGGTTGATGTGGGGCTGGCTCCAAGTCATCTCCTCAGCTCTCTGAGACGGGTTTGTGGTATGGGAACTGAGGATGAACCTATCTTTTAACTTAGGCTTGTGGTGAGAAATGACATGCTGTGTGTAAAGCAATTCTAAGGGCCCCTGCAGAGCTGGAGAGATAGCTTAGTGGTTAGGAGCACTGACTATCTTTGAAGAAGACCTGGGTTCAGTTCCCAGAACCTGCACAGGGTGGTTCACAACTAGTTCTAGTTCCAGAGGATCTTCTGGAACCACAGATGACGTATACACACACAGGCACACTCACATACACATAGTTTTAAAAAAAAATCAGAGTGACTATTTTTATAAACAAATTTATTTGGGAGTGTTGCGATTGGGAATCCCTATGAAGCTAGTCAACACTTCCCACCACTGGGCAGAACACATTGCTTCCCTATCAGGGTTTCAAGCAGGGCAGCTCAGCCACATTGGGAATCTTCAGCCTCTGTCCGCATCCTCATTTGCCTGGGGGTAGAGGTGCCTCTGAGGGAGTCTCATCCCATTCTCCCAGGATAGGAACATACGGGGCACCAGCAGCCAGCAATGTGGCAACACTCAGTGGCTGGTGCTAGGCCAGCCAGAGTCCCCTGGAACTTCAGGAGGACCCCAACACTGATGAGGGTGACTGTACCTCTGAGCCTTGGCAGCTGTTTGGATGTGGTTACCTATTCAGGGGTGTCCAGGGAGCCCTTAACCCTGACCCTTGACCCCACAGTTGGTTCCATAGGCTGTGTTGGTTCTCATGCGCATCATCCAAGGGTGGCTGCACTAAGCAAGGCTGCCTAGCTGACAATAACCTTGCCTGTCCTCCCTCCCTTTTCTCTTTCTCCCCTTCCCCCACCCCCAAGCATCTGTTCTTTGCATGGTGTGGTTGCTGTGCCATAAACATGGATCTTTACCAGCGTGGGCTGAGTTTCCCTCTCTGTACAGCAGGGCAGGACTGTGCTGCAGGTCAGGAGAGAGCTGGCTAAAGCCGGTGTGAGAGCCTGGCAGCGCAGCTGCCGGGGGTCTTGGTCAAGGCCACGAGAAACAGCTTTTCTTTCTCCTTTAAGATACCGTGAATGCTGTCTGGCATTTCTCTGTATCTCTCATTTTAAAAATTTAGTTTATCATCATGTTTTTAGTTTTTAAAAATTATCTGACTGTTTTTGTGCACATGAAGCGTGTGTGTGGATGTCGGAGGACAGCTTTGGACAGTTCTCTCCTTCCACCCTGGGGTCCAGGGATTGGTTCAGCTTACCAGGCCTGCGGGTCAGGGGTCTTCACCCACCGCCACCTCTGCAGCCTCTTCTGCACCCAGTGCTACTTACTCACCACAGTGAGGCAACATGGAGGCCCCCTTTTATTTTGACAAAAACAAAAACAAACAAGCAAACAAACAAAAACCCAGAATGCTTTAGGGCTATATATATGTGCTTGTTCATTTTCACAGAAGGCTCACATTGAGATGCATGTGCCAGTATTCACATACCCTGAGATGTACTCACACATGCATATACATACACACAGAGGCATTTGCATGCACACATTTATATACATACACCTTTATATGCACTTATGCACATTCACATAAACACATAACACACACTAACACAGATAGATATATACATACAAATTTCATATACATATTCTCTCTCTTTTATATGTACACACACACACACACACACACATACACACACACACACACACACACACAAGTGCTGAAATTCCAAAACATCTGCTGGTAGAGAGGTACACTGGTGGGCCCCATGTGAACGCCTTGTACCTTGCATCTCGTGCGGACCAGTGGGCAATCTTGCATCCACAGCAGAACAGAGGCCACCACGCTTTTTCCCCATTCTGTCAGCACTGGGTGGTCTCAGGCTAACATTTGCACACAGGGCCTAGGCCTGTTTTATTTTTTTCAGGACTGAGTCCAGAGTTGTTTTGAGAAACAGCAAGAGCTGAACCTGGGAGCCCAGCCCCAGGGTTAAGTCAGGGCTTCATCCCTACAGGCTGAGCAATGTGAGGCAGGTTGCTTAACCTCCTGGTGATAAGAGAGTGCATGGGAGAGGGTGATAGAAGGGGCTGGTGTGCAGTGAACGCAGGGCATGAGGTGGAGACCGGCTGCGTGTGCTGCAAGGCACATTGGGGGCAGGAGCCCGTGACTAGATTCATAGGCAGCTTTCAAGCCGTTGGATAGACTAAGATAGTCCAAGAATCAAGAGACTCAAGCTTGCATTTAGAGAAATTACATCAAAACCTTCTGACAGAACCAGTGGACAGGTTGTTTTCATGGCACCCTGAGCTGATTCCAGTCCCCAGCCCAGGCCTCTTAGTCCTGCAGGGGTGCCTCTCTGGGTTCCAGCCCCCAGCCCAGGCCTCTTAGTCCTGCAGGGCTGCCTCTCTGGGTCCACAGGGACTCTGGTCTGCACTTGGGGAGCCCAGATCTCTGGAACAGGACTTCTCCCTGGTACGGCTCCCCTGGCAGGGGTGCAGCAGTTTGTCCAGGTTGCTGGCTCATGAGATCCACTTGGTGCAGAGAGAACTTGGGCTCGTTTCTTGCCCAGGGGAGAGAGTAGGAGCTGTTCTGCCCTCTGTGAGGTGGCCTGACCCTGTGGCCAGGGATCTCCACTCAAATGCTGTCCAGGGACCTTCACCTTGATCACTCAAGCTTGGATCAGTCATTCATCCCAGTGCTACTGATGCAGGCTGAGATCAGGCAACTGTTGTGGGCTGTCTTACCCACGAGAGGCCATCTAGCAGGGCTGCTGGTCTTGGATCATGACAGCAGCACCCTCCTACCTCCCTAGCTGCTGTTGTTCTTGCCGTTGCTTTGCTTCATCTCTTTTGAAAGAGCATCTGACAGTGTGGTCTAGGCTGGTTTTGAACCCCTGCGCTGTCTGCCTCAGCCTCCCTACCGCGACAACTAAGGCCACACCACCACAGCATTTGTGAAATGTCCAGAAAATGTCCAGCAGCGACATTTTCACCAATTTTTTTTTCTGATGCTGGACATCAAGGACCTTGCACGTGTTATACTGGTGCTATCCTACAGAGCTACACCCTAGACCTCCTATTATGATACCCCAAAATGCCCCTAGACATTACATCAATGTTCCTACCCCCCTTTAGCCTGAGAGTGTAGATCTCTATCCTGGGTACAGCAGGGACTCCCGGGGCTTCTCTAGAAACAAATCCCTGTGGAGTCCCTTATCCACAGCAGGAGGTAGGACCAGGCTGCCGTGAGATTGGGAAGTGCAGGGCTGACTCAGGGTTGAGGGAGGCTAAAGGTCCTTCATATGTCACTTACCAGTCTTCTTGGCGTGAGTGGGCTGTGTGCATCCCTAGCCACTGCTGCAGTCTCCAGGGGCCAGCCCAGGCGCCTTCCTTGGCATCTCAGCTCTGGCACACAACCTCTGTGCCATCTGGACAGGCACTGCCAACAGCTACCTGGAGTTGGCTCCCTTGTGAAGATTCTGGACGAGGCTTTGGGTGTGAACTACAGCTTCCCAGAGGTCAGGTGAGCATAGCTAGTGTCTCAACACTAGATTCAGGTCTTACCTGGCAGGTCATCCTTGGACAAGTGGGTGGGGCGGGGGACCCTTCCAGGTCTCACAGTCCACCCCACTGCCATGATTTTGCAGCTTCAGCTTGTGCTGAAAGCCATCGGCAATGCTGGTCTGGGTGCGGCAGCTCTAGCCCCTGTGTTGAGCACCTGTGCATCTCTGAGGGTCATCTCTGCAGAGATCTGGCTGGTGGCTAACCAGGCCTTCCAGAAGATCCCTTGCTCTGCAGACGTGAGTCCTTGTGTTTTTTCCTCTGGATGCCGTTGGACAATGGGTGGACTTGATCTAGGTTGTCAATCACCTCCTCCTTTGAAATCATTACATGTTACTCCCGTGTGCTGGGTGCCTGCCTAGTCAGCAGCGTGAGCAGGTATTTTTCCTCTGTCCTCTAGAACTGTGTTTAGTGTGGGAAATGGATTATTCACCAAATAAACCCACAAATAAGTATGTGATTTCTGATACTGCCATGTGACTCAGACACACATGTACCAGCACTGGCAGACTGTGGGCCACCTCCTGGCCTGCTATCTGCTTTTGTAAATAAAACTTTATCGGTACACAGATTGCTATGGGCTATCTGTGGCTACGTTGGTGCTCCAACTACTGAATGGAATCTTTGCAAGAGAAACTGCCAGACCCAAGATAGTTATTGTCTGTGTTGTTCCAGGGAAAGGTTGCCTGCCTGTCTGTCACTCAGGCAGTGTCAGGTCCTTACCACTGAGCTCTGAATGTCTGGTTCTGACCAGCACATGTTAACCTCATCCACTACTTTTTCTTCCAGATGTCCTCAGGCCTAAGTCTGTAACTGTATATAGAGCCTTACAGGGAGAGAAGATGGCTGGGTGACGATTAATAAAGTGCCCATTGCACAAGCATGGAGACCTGAGTTTCAACCCTAGCACCACAGAGAAGCTGGGCATGGTGGGCCATGCCTGCAGTCCCAGCTCTGGGAGGGGTAATGATGGGAGAATCCAGGGAGTCCAGCTGGACTGCTGAGCTCCAGACTTAGTGGAGACCTTAGATAAAGAATGTGTAAATCTTTTTAGAAAATAATCTGAAGAGCTACCGGAGAAAGGGCTCTGCAGCCCTGCGGGGACCTGGGCTGAGTCCCGGCACCCACACAGTGACTCCCCACCTCCTGCCACACCAGTTCCAGGGAATCCGGCCACCACGGGCTCTTGTACACACACGCTGCACATAAACTCATGCATAAATAAAATAAAAAATCTTTAAAAAGTAAGGCAGAGAGGGCTGGAGAGAGGTCTCAGAAGTTAGGAGCATTTGTTGCTCTTGCTGAAGACACTGCAGCTCACAACCATCTGTAACTCCAGTTCTGGGAGATCCAATACCTTTCTCTGGTCTCCACAGGCACCAAGTATGCATATGATGTGCAAGCATGCAAGCAGGCAAAACACTCACACAGATAAAATAAAATTTAAAACTAAGGTGGAAAATAATTGAGGATAGGGACTCAATGTTGACCCCTGGCATTTAAACATGTGTGCATGTATGTACACACATGATGTACATAAATTAATATAAACAAACACACATAAATAAAATAAAAGGTCTTTAAAAATATAAGGTGGAGAGAGGCTGTACAGATATCCCAGAAATTAAGAGCATTTGTTGCTCTTACAAAAGACCTGGGTAGTGGCCCCACTACCTCTCAGAGCAGGGCCACAGGTTACAGTGTACTGGGAAAGTTACCCATGGTGTGTGCACACACGTGCACGTGCACACACAGACACACACACACACACAGATACACAGACACACAGACACACAGACACACACACACACACACACACACACACACACAGAATAACAGTCTCCACTGAGGGCTGGAAGCTGTTTCTGGTTTTGAGCCATTAGTACCAATAACCCAAAGTGACCTGCTTACACATCTGCCTGAGGTGACTTGACATTTTCCTGAAGCTAAACCACCTTTGCAAATGGTGTATTCATTTGAAGTAGATGCAGGGCCAGGGAAATGATTCAGCTGCAGAACACTTGCCTTGCAGGTACAATGAGGTCTTTGGCTCCATCTTCCACACTGTAAAACAAAACAGCAAATCAGTCCCCTGTTCCAACTGACCGAAGATGTAGCCCTGTGTCAGGCTTGGGAATGAGGAAGCAGGTGATGCGGGGACTTTGTCTGGAGTCATAGCCTGCTAAGCTTCCAAGGAATCAGCCAGGGGCTGTAGGTACCAGGCTGTCTGCTGCCCAGTGGGATAAATAGGAGCCCTGCCCCCAAAGTCAGCCCTGTCCCATGGCCAGATGTTTGAGAAGCTTCTGGCTGTGTCTTCTGGGAGTTAACATGATCTTATGCCAGGGTTTCCATTGGGCGGATATTCCATGTTCTCCCACCTACTCACTGTAAATGGAGTTTCTGTCCTGCCCAGTCCCACAAAGCACACAGAAGCTTATAATAATTATAAACTGATTGGCCTATTAACTCAGGCTTATTACTAACTAGCTCTTACAACCTAAATTAACCCATAATTCTTGTCTATGTTTAACCACGTGGCTTGGTACCGTTCTCAGTGCAGCATTCTCATCTTGCTTCCTCTGTATCTGACTAATGACTGACTCTCTGTCTTTCCTCTTCCCAGAATTCTCTTACTCTGATCACCCTGCCTTTATTTTCTGCCTGGCTACTGGTCAATCAGTGCTTTATTTAAACCAATTATGAGTGACAAATCTTTACAGTGTACAAGAGCAGCTTGTACAAGAGCAGCTTCCCACAGCAGCCCACACACCCATTTCACCTTACTCTTCAGGACCGTGGCAGGGTCTCTATCATGGACCACACATCACCCTCTTGTCTGCTCTGAGATAATTAGACTCTCTGGTTCTGTCTCTGACCTTGACTTACCTTTGCCAATAGCCCCTTGAGAAACGTTTCATTTCACAGATGAGGAAGCTGAGGCTCAGAGGTAATGAGCGTCTCCAATGTACTCAGAAATAATAGAAGTAAGGCCTGGGGGAGGCTCAGCCAGTAAAGTGCCTGCTGAATAAATGTGAGGGCCTGGCTTGATCTCCAGAGCCCACATACAGAGGGTATGTTAGCATCAGTTTGCAATCCAGTGCTGGGGGGCAGGGCACAGGTGGACTTCTCAAGTTCACTCGCTGGCTAGCCAGCCTAGATAAATCAGCAAGTTCCAGAGAAAAGCGAGAAACTTTGCCCCCAAAACAGTGCGCTTGGTGCCCAAGAAACATCTGCAACTGTCCTCCAGCTTCCACATACATGCACACACATGTATGCATGTGTGTTTTCAAAGGCTCTGGGTAGAATGAGGATTTGAAATACAGCTTGATATCCCCATTTCACAGGTGAGGCACAGAGAGGCGGCAGCACCATCTTGAGGTAACACAGCCTACATCCATAGGACTGAGCTGGGGTTCAGCTGGGTCTGGCTTTCAAGTCAAGTGAAGCCAAGATGCCTACTTCATTTTTTTTCTTTTGCCCCCAGGGAAACTCTTTAGAATTCCACACCCAGGCTGGGTTCTACTCCTGTTAACTTCAGACTGCAGGGTCCTGAGCAGCCCTGGCATGGGTGTGGCTGGCGGGAGCTGAATCAGAGCATCTTGGCCAGTGGCTAACTGTGTGCCTGTTGCTGCCGCTCTGTCCCAGTGGGCTCCTTCGTGTGGAGCCACAGCGTGCAGCTGCTGGAGACGGATGATCCCCTGAAACATGACCTTTGGGAGTCCCTCCCCCAAGGACATCCTTAGTCAGCAGTTCCAGACGGAGACCTGGAAACACTTGCCTTATTCTGATGTCACCTTCCACTTAAGTACGACTCACCTGGGGCCGCAAGGCCTGGGAACCCCATAGCTCCAATCTCCAAGAACACAGGGCCTAAGGATACTCTTTCCTTCGCCTGGGTGACACAGAGCATGTTCAGGGCCAGCCTGGACAACTTGGTGAGAACCTTTCTCAAAAAGCAGTGGTCTGAGTGTAGCGGAAGCCCCTCCCCTGCTGCACAAGGGCTGTGTTGGTCTCCACAGGGCAGTGGGGACGCCGCAGGAATCTTTTCAGCTGAGATCCCTGAACCACCTCAGTCATCCTGGGAAGCATAGGGAATGGAGGGTGCTCTAGCATC